CATGGGTTCATCACCATCATCATCATGGGTTCATCATCATCATGGGTTCATCATCATCATGGGATCATCATCATCATGGGATCATCATCATCATGGGTTCATCATCATCATGGGTTCATCATCATCATGGGTTCATCATCATCATCATGGGTAAATCATCATCATCATCATGGGTAAATCATCATCATCATCATGGGTTCATCATCATCATGGGATCATCATCATCATGGGATCATCATCATCATGGGTTCATCATCATCATGGGTTCATCATCATCATCATGGGTAAATCATCATCATCATCATGGGTAAATCATCATCATCATCATGGGTAAATCATCATCATCATCATGGGTTCATCATCATCATGGGATCATCATCATCATGGGATCATCATCATCATGGGTTCATCATCATCATGGGATCATCATGGGATCATCATGGGTTCATCATCATCATGGGTTCATCATCATCATGGGATCATCATCATCATGGGGTTATCATCATCATGGGTTCATCATTATCATGGGTTCATCATCATCATGGGTTCATCATCATCATGGGTTCATCATCATCATCATCATCACGGGTTCATCATCATCATGGGATCATCATCATCATCACGGATTCATCATCATCATCATGGGTTCATCATCATCATGGGTTCATCACCATCATCATCATGGGTTCATCATCATCATGGGTTCATCACCATCATCATCATGGGTTCATCATCATCATGGGTTCATCATCATCATGGGTAAATCATCATCATCATGGGTAAATCATCATCATGGGTTCATCACCATCATCATCATGGGTTCATCATCATCATGGGTTCATCATCATCATGGGATCATCATCATCATGGGATCATCATCATCATGGGTTCATCATCATCATGGGTTCATCATCATCATGGGTTCATCATCATCATCATGGGTAAATCATCATCATCATCATGGGTAAATCATCATCATCATCATGGGTTCATCATCATCATGGGATCATCATCATCATGGGATCATCATCATCATGGGTTCATCATCATCATGGGTTCATCATCATCATCATGGGTAAATCATCATCATCATCATGGGTAAATCATCATCATCATCATGGGTTCATCATCATCATGGGATCATCATCATCATGGGATCATCATCATCATGGGTTCATCATCATCATGGATCATCATGGGATCATCATGGGATCATCATGGGTTCATCATCATCATGGGTTCATCATCATCATGGGATCATCATCATCATGGGGTTATCATCATCATGGGTTCATCATTATCATGGGTTCATCATCATCATGGGTTCATCATCATCATGGGTTCATCATCATCATCATCATCACGGGTTCATCATCATCATGGGTAAATCATCATCATCACGGATTCATCATCATCATCATGGGTTCATCATCATCATGGGTTCATCATCATCATCATCATCACGGGTTCATCATCATCATCATGGGTAAATCATCATCATCACGGATTCATCATCATCAACATGGGTTCATCATCATCATCATCATCATGGGTTCATCATCATCATCATCATCTTGGGGTCATCATCATCATCATGGGTTCATCATCATCATCATCATCATCACGGGTTCATCATCATCATCATCATCACGGGTTCATCATCATCATCATGGGTAAATCATCATCGGTAAGTTTTCGGCGTCTACCGTGGTCGCCATCCTCATCAACAACCTGGCTCGGTAAGTTGTTCGCAAACCTTCTCAGCATTTCATTACGCATTCTTTATTCTGTCCCTAGTGTATGCCCTACGAGCATACGGACTCTCCGGCCTCGACCTCGGCTTTTTGGGGGAACATCCCTATTCACATTCATCTACTCATGCATGTTAAAGCATAATTCAGCATGAATGTTCCTGCCGAGGTCTGAGCGCCAAAGACTATACTTTCTTATCAATAAATTCTTCTAATTATCTTTTCTCTCTGTGGGAGTTTTTCAGATTGAAATGAAGCTCTAGCGGAAGTTCAATTGAAGAAACTCTGACTTGCCTCCATCAATCAGAAGCCGATCCGTCTCTGAAGCGAGCCAATCAGCTTCGAACTACTCCACCATGAAGCCAAATCAGCGTCCTGCTTCCACTTTATAAACTCCCTCAAATCTCACCACAGCCGCTATCCTGCAATCGCAATGTCGGATTTCGATTCAGACGACAATCCAGCCACCTCCATCCCCTTCTCCGCCATCGCAGCTGAATCGTCCTCTATGACACGACTTCACCTCAACCTCATCAGAGAGTATTAATCCCAGTTGTCACCATCCCTCATCTCATCGCATTGGTCCGGCAGAAGACCACCATGTTGAGCCCGGTTCTGCCAGAGGTTTCTTCCCAAGGGGAGTTTTTCCTCTCCACTGTCGCTTCATGCTTGCTCATCATGGACAGTTTACGGTACCTGCATCACCAAGCAGGACCGCTATATCCCGAGTCTGAGTGAAGCCTGGCGTCAGCTCCCTCAGTCTTCTAGTCCCACAATTCTGCTCAGCAGATCACCTTGTCAACCAGCTCGGATTAAACCACCACCAGTTTCAGGCCCGGGGGAACATCCCTATTCACATTCATCTACTCATGCATGTTAAAGCATAATTCAGCATGAATGTTCCTGCCGAGGTCTGAGCGCCAAAGACTATACTTTCTTATCAATAAATTCTTCTAATTATCTTTTCTCTCTGTGGGAGTTTTTCAGATTGAAATAAGATAATTAGATAAAATGCGCTGGAAATAAGACAGAATAAGAAAGGATAACTGGTTTGTGTTCAGATTGGGCAACAATGTTGATTAGGAATGAAAAATTAGCATTTTATTTGATCAAAAATAAGGAAAAAAATCCATCAAAACATAGAAATTCTGGATGCCATTAAATCCATAAATATAACTGTTTTTTTTTCCAAACACATTTTTTCTTTTCTAACAGAATTTTATTAAGATTGAAAACCTTTTTACTAAAAATGACCTTCCAAATGAAAAAAAAAAGAAATCCAAGTATTTTAAAAGCGTCAAAAGTAATTTCTGACAAACAAGCAATGCATGAATGCGTTATCGTGTTTATCAAGCGTCTCTTTCGGGGCTAAAGAGCGACTATTTGAAGCTAGGTTTATGTTTACGCTCGATTATGGTGACATTCTATACATGCTTTGCTTACAGTAAATGTATTCATTCACTGGATGCTGTTTATCCCTGAGCTTTAAGATTAATATCAGCTTTAAAAGGTTTCAAACATCACGGAATGAAGAAGCACAGGTTAGGTGGATAGCCTGCAGCATAGACTGTATGACTTGCACACTTTTATTCATAAGGTGGATCGCTTCCTTCTTATTTGCTGAACTACTTAAATGGAAAAGCCACTGGAGGTTAAATTGTTTGTGAGAAATTTACTTTTATATTCGGTCCCAAAAGTCCGAACTGAACTGTGAGAGAAATCTTGACAGCTTTCTGCTCTATCTGCACGGCGACACCCACAGGAAAGCTTGGAGTTAAAGGTGCTGCTCTACAGTACATGTTGTTAAAAATGGCTAAAGATTGTAGGAAAAAAAATGTCTGTAAAATTTTAAAGAGGGGGATTTTTTTTTTTATCTAAATTTTTTTTTTTTGTCCATTTTTTCTCCCCTTATTCTATATTTGGTCTTGAATGTAATGTAACTCCGGAAGCTGGTGCCAGTCTTGTCCAATATTCCTTTGGAAAACACATTCCTTATCTCAACTGGATTGTCTCTGCTGAGATTAAGGCTACAGTGGAAAAAATTTAAATAGATAACTTATTTTTTCTTAAAGTAAGTGCATTTGTTCTTGGATTGAGGAGATAAAAGAGACATTTTGCCAATGGAACAAGACAGTTTACATTTAAAATAAGAAAACATAATTGCATTGTCTTATTTCAAGTGAATATTATCCAATTATCTTTTTTTAAGAGTAAACATGCTCATTCCATTGGCAAACTATCTCATTTAACTACTCAAATTAAGGCAAAATACACTTAATTTAAGACATTTTTTACTTATTTCTAGATCGTTTTTCCAGTGTAATCATTATTACGCACATATTTACACTGTTTACTAGTTTGGAGGGCCATTTGCACTGTTTTTTTGTTTAAGAGCAAAAGAGGGATAAATATGTAAACTCACCAAACTAATCAGATTTGTTTTATTTTGAAAATCAAAAGCAGCTTGTATTTTTCTTTTACTTTGTTCTGGTCTTTAGAATAAAATCTTGATAAAACACCTTCACTGGAAAAATGATCTAGAAATAAATAAAATGTCTTAAATTAAGTGTTTTTACCCTTAATTTGAGTAGGTAAGTGAAGTAGAGTATTTTCACTCTTAAAATAGGATAATTAGATACCAATTCCCTTAAAATAAGACAATCCACTTGTGTTTTCTCATTGTAAACCGCAAAAACCACCTAAAAATTAGAAAAAATATATTAAATTAAGTGTATTTACCATTAATTTGAGCAGAGTAAATAAGATAGTTTGCCATTTGAATGAGTATTTTAAGCCTTAAAATAAGATAATTAGATAATATGCACTTAAAATAAGACAATGCAATTGTGTTTTCTTATTTTAACTGTATATTGTCTTGTTCCATTGGCAAAGTTTCTCAATTATCTCCTCAATTCAAGAAAAAATGCACTTATTGCAAGAAAAAATTACTTATTTAGATTTCAATTTTTTGAAGTGTAAATGTAAATTGTCTTGTTCCATTGGCAAAATGTCTCTTTTACCTCCTCAATCTAATAACAAATGCAATTATTTTAAGAAAAATTTACTTATCTAGATTTCGCTTTTTTTCCAGTGTTGCTTGTGGTTGTAAAATGACAATGTAAAGAAATTCAAAGCGGAAAACAATAACGGAAAGTCATTTTCTGACATCAGTTGATGTAACTTTCAGAAAGCTGGTTGTCTCCTATATAATGCATCCTTGTCTTCACATGCCTGTAAACAGATCCTTACCTGATAATTACACTGGGGTCGTGTGTGACTCCACAGGTCATAATGGCCTTAGTCCCTTTGATGACGCTCTGGTCCTGTGGGGGGGTGGTAATCCGAGTGCGAGCTGTGGAAACAAATCAAAGGCATGAGGGAATAGAGAAAGAACATGTTTCCTCAAATACAGGGTCAGAGAGAAAAACACAGCCGACGCTTATGCTGGTTAAACTGACAAGCTCCAAATGAAGAAACAAAGCAAGTCTCCCACAAAATGTTTTATTCATAGTCCTTAACAAAATCACTCAGCTTTTGCCCTGATTCCTTTGAAATGTTGTGCATTTAAATGTGTGTTTGGTCAAACTGCTCCTCTGGAAACTTACCCCAGACAATGAGGTCAGCGGACGCCTCATCGATTCCCCTAGAATTGCTTGCCATACAGGTGTAGGTCCCGGCATCAGTGATGTGGGAAGGGGATATGAGCAAACTGCCTGACTCCAGCAGAGTGAACCTGGGCAGCTGCACTGAGCCACTGGCCAAAACGCGCTCTCCTGCAAACAGAAAGTTGCAATGACAGAAGGATGAAACAAGAGAAAAATCATTTTAGAGGAATAATAAGTATGGATTTGAAAGCTATGGTAGAATATGTATCTGTGTGCAATCAAAACTAAAACATTAATTGGATTCATTGCGATTAATCAGTGTATTAATCGATTAATTGTTAAATGGAGTATTGAGACTCTGAAGCATGCCTTTAGCTGACAGAGTGACCCACTGAGAGCAGTAATTATACCAAGATTGCAAAAAAAGATATAAACATTTTGCATTTAAGATCAGTGTTGCATCGATGCCATTTTCTGGCCCCGATACCCGATACTAGGGGTGTAAATAATAATCTTTTTGTATCGATGCATCGATCCAACAGCCGACGATCCGATGCATCGTCACGTCCACAAGAGAATAGAATCATGTTTTTTTTTTTCCTCCGATATATTTTTATCCATTTGCTCCTGGCCGTAATTCTCCCTCCCGTGCTGCGGTGGCGCTAAAACCATTTTGCCCTCCTACCTCGCTTCCTGGTTATACTCTTACAGCAGTGTGTTGTGGTAAGCTTGACACAGACATTTTTAAATTATGCTCAGTATTGAAGCGTGGTCTGTGCTACACGCTGTGGGTCTAGATACGGCCGAGGCGACGAGGAAGTGGGGGCGAGTTTAGTCCGACGATGGAGGGACATGAGGGCCAAAAAGAGCAGAGATCCAGGTGGAAAAATGGTCTCAGCGTTCTCGTGCACCTCGCTCTTCTAGCGGGTCAAACTTCACGAGTTGTTTTCCGCAATTTTGGTCATAAAATCAAAACAAGCCGGCCTCCTGTCTGCGGCACTGTTGGTGGTCAGCTACAATCTGGGAGAGGAGCAGCAGAGCGTCTGTGGAGGGGGCGGGACGTCTGGAGCCGAGGTATTTCATTGCACTCATTGCACTGATTTTCTGCAGTATTTTTGCAGTATTGTTTTATGCAACTTTTCTACTTCTGATATTTGCTGTTGTTTCTAAAAAAAAAAAATGCGTAACGATATTATAGCTTTCATTTATTTATTTCAAACTTAACACTTTGTTTAGCCTGTAAGGTGTAAAAAAAAAAAAAGAAAATTAATAAAATTTTTTACAGATTAATCGATTAATCGAATCGAATCGTGGTGTATTCTTGAGTATCGAAAATAATCGAATCGTTGGGTCAGGAAATCGATACTGAATCGAATCGCCACGATGGATGTGATTTACACCCCTACCCGATACCTGGCTGTGCAGTATTGGCGCCCTATTTGATTGATTGGATCAGGGCCCCGCCCGATACTGGTATCGGTGCAACACTTTTTAAGATAAAAAATAAATAAAATAGGCTGTCAATATGCTCTACACAGAAATCCAAGGAGAAAAGTTTGAGTTTCACCTGGTTTAATGTTGTAAAAAGTGTTTATGAAGGAACCTGTGGCTATCCAATTATTAATGGATTAATAAAAAAAAGACAGATTAATCAATTTGTCAAATAATGGTTAATTGCAGCCCTAATCAAAATCAGCAAGGGTTGTAGAAATATACATTTTCAAATAGGTGGCCTTTATCTAAAACTTAGACTTAATGACGTCCTTTCTTTCAAAGCAACTTTAGCAGCTTAAGTATGATTAGAGTCAAACCTTTATGCGCTGATTCTGTTTATGAAAAGTGCACTGCAAAAACGATCTGTAATTAAGTAAAAATTTCTTAAATTAGGTGTATTTACCCTTAATTTGAGCAGGTAAATAAGACAGTTTGCCAATGGAATTAGTATTTTTACATTTAAAATAAGATAATTAGATAATATGCACTTAAAATAAGACAATGCAATAGTTTTTTCTTATTTCAAATGTAAATTGTCTTGTTCCATTGGCAAAGTGTCTCACTTACCTCCTCAATTCAAGAAAAAATGCACTTATTTTAAGAACAAATGACTTATTTAGATTTACATTTTTTGCAGTGTGGGGTTTTAATCTAATTTGTCTCTGAAAATGACCGTTTTTTTTTGGCACAGATGAGTACAATAAATTAATAGCCTCCTGTAAAAAAGGATAATTTTACGTCATGATTTGCTGCATATTTTCCAAGTAGTTTCCAGTAAATTTAGTGGAGGATTTTGTCGGAGACCGAGAGCAGCTCTTTGAACATTTGACCTTTTTGAAATTCAGTGTCAACGAACATAGAAGTTAACAGGGGAGCATATAGATGTATATGTGATAACAGCCTTCATTTCATGAGGCTGCATACGCGTTTCTGTGTGTAACAGAGACCTTTCTGCCAGGTTATAGCGGGCCTCGGCGCTCCTGAGGTCTCACAGTGCAGGATGATTGACATTCCGTCAATCACTGTGCTGTCAGAGGGTCCGGCTGTGATGTTCGGTGCGATGCCTGAGGGAAGACAAATCACACACATAGAGCAAAGAGAGCTCAGTACAGTAACAAGAACGTGCAAGGGGCTAATGCACCTATCTAAGCCAAAGCTGCCTTTCACAAATATTTCTAAGCCCCAACCTGCAACATCAGAGAGCTTAGTCTTCGCTTTGTCCCACTAATTCTAAAGGGATTGACACGGCCTTCCCCCCGCTGACACAAGGGTGTGCCAACTGTTTATATTTTACACACAGAGATAGAAAAAGTATGGAAAGGAAAAGGAGAAATCTAATCATAAATGGAAAGAGAAGCCCCTCACAAAGCAACTAAAATCCCTGTGTGTGATGTGCAATAAATCAAAGCCCCTTATGGAAAGACAAGAAACTATAACTACTAAAAGAAAAGATGCATCAGGAGTTTGTCACAGGAGCAAAGTAAATATCTGAACTCAGAAAAATTGGAAATAATGATGTATTGGGTGAAAAGAGCGATGAATTGGAACCTGAACAGAGGAGGGAGAGGGAAAGGTAGCAGCGTTGTAGGAACAGAAATAAGGACGAAAAGAGGGATTTAGTGACTTAGAATATTATGAATTCTGATAACAAGGTGCATCATGGATTGAAAGCAGCAGGAAGGTAGACGCGGTGAAGAAAATTAGATGTCAGAAACTTGCAGAAAAGATGCACAGCGAGAGTACAATTACCACTGATTTTCAAATTCCTGCAGTGACACAAGCTCAGATAAAGAACAAAATAATCTGCAAATTATTTTCGAGTCAGGAGAGAGGATGCAAACATGGCTCTCAATGACAGCTTTCTGTTCTCTAAGGTTAGAATGGAGGAACAATTGTTCATTTCCTCTGCTTATCGAGGACCAGGTGGTGTTTAGGTCTTCTCAAAACAGAAGCAGTCTTGTGTTTTTTCCTCCTCCTCCATCATACAATGCACCAAGTAAGAATTCAGATAGTCGTTGAAACAGTTTCGTCACAAAGGAACCATCTTATCCGAAGGATTTCAGCTGTCATTTGTCAGATTTCTTAAAACGCCTTTAAATGTTTAGCATGCTAATGATTTCACAACACAGGGCAACTGTTTCACCAAATACTGCAATTTTTCCACTACCTGTAAAGTTTGGTGAGCTTTCTGCACTGCAAAAAATCTAGATCTAGATAAGTCATTTTTTTCTTAAAATAAGTGCATTTGTTCTTGAATTAAGGAGGTAAAAAAGACATTTTGCCTATGGAACAAGACAATTTACACTTAAAATAAGAAAACACAATTGCATTGTCTCATTTCAAGTGCATATTATCTAATTATCTTATTTTAAGAGTGAAATTACTCATTCCATTGGCAAACTATCTCAATTACCGACTCAAATTCAGAGTGAATGCACTTAATTTAAGAAAAATTTACTTATTTCTAGATCGTTTTTGCGGTGTGGGGAATCATAGTTTGTACACTGGAAAAAATTGACATCGAGATAAGTCATCTTTTCTTAAAATGATTGCATTTGTTCTTGGACTGAGGAGATAAAAGAGACAGTTTGCCAATGGAACAAGACAATTTACACTTAAAATAAGAAAACACAATAGAATTGTCTTATTTCAAGAAAATATCATCTAATTATCTTATTTTAAGAGCAAATACACTAATTCCATTGGTAAACTATCTCATTTACCGACTCAAATTAAGGGTAAATACACCTTACACACCAAACACACCAAATTTTTACTTATTTCTAGATTTTTTTTCTAGTGTAGACATCGATCAGTTGTGCATCTTATCAGAGTGGCTCCAAAATAACTGCTTGAAGGAATAGTACACCCAAAACATGATTAGCCTTCATTTTCTACTCACCCCCATGCTGAACAACACTCTGGAGTACTTTTTTGATATCTCAAATGCATCTGGAGATCTGGGAGGCTTCTTGCTGTCTGCTGACATTGAAATAATGGAGGTCTATTGTGCCCGAGACAGAAAGGTCCATTAAAGTCCACAAAAACTTGTCAATATTCCTCCATGCTGCTCGTCCAATGTATTCCAAGTGTCCTGAGTGGGTAGCATCCAGAATTTACTCGAAACGAAGTCCTTTAGAATGTTTTTAGAGCATAAACAGTAGTGTATATGATCTCCTAAAAGCGCGTTCACGAGTCTACGGAAACCGCGGCAGACCAAACCAGACGAAAGTGCGCATTCAGCTCGGCAAAGAACTCATGCTCTTCCTCAACACTGAAGTCCTCAGACATTTTTCTTTCGTTGTTTATTTCTTTGCACAGGTAAACAGCACATTTCTTCTTCTACGCTTGCATTATCAGCAGAGCAGACGCTGAATGCGCACTTTCATCTGGTTTGGTCTGCCGGCTTCCGTAGCGTCCTGAATGCGCTGGCGCGAGCTTTCAGGAAATACTATACACTACTGTTTATGCTCTAAAAACATTCTAAATGACTTCGTTTCGAGTAAATTCTGGATGCTACCCACTCAGGACACTTGGAATACATTGGACGAGCAGTATGGAGGAATATTGACACGTTTTTGTGGACTTTTATGGCCCTTTCTGTCTCGAGCACCGTAGACCTCCATTATTTGAATGTCAGCAGACAGCAAGAAGCCTCCCAGATCTCCAGATGCATTTGAGATATCAAAAAAGTACTCCAGAGTGTTGTTCAGCATGGGGGTGAGTAGAAAATGAAGGCTAATCATGTTTTGGGTGTACTATTCCTTTAACTCTGAATTACACCAAGACTGTCTCCATGTGTTTCTACCTTAAGAGAATTATAAACAACAAACTCAAAATAATTATTAATCAACATGAAATAAAGCCGGCTGGTGAATTTAAGTATCTGGGGGTAGTTTTATATTCAAAATTGAAATTTGATGCCCATATTAAGAAAATGACGAAAACTATGAAGACAAATATAAACTGTTTTCGAATGATTCGACCATGTGTATCAAATCAAGCTGCACAAGTATATTTACATGCAATGATTTTATCCCATATGTGTTATTGCTCCATCGTTTGGGCCCAGGCCACAAAGTCTGTTTTAAAACCTTTACTCTCAAGCAAGCATTAAAAATATTCGATCAAAAACCGGTGAAGTGGCATCACTGCAAAATTATTAAAAAATACAACACAATGAGGTTTGAAAATTTTATAAATTTCTCATTTTTAAAAGCTGTTTTTAAATGCCTTAATGGTTTTGCCCCTGAGGTAATCTGTAAATTTGTTTTAAAGTATGCAAATGAAGGAATCAGGACAAGAGCTGGAGCTAGTGGGAACTGCAGGGTTAAAAGATGTCGGACATCTCTGGGCCAGTCCGCCTTCTCAGTGAAAGCGTCACATCTCTGGAACTCTTTGCCTCTGGAGCTTAAGTCACAGACTGATGTTCAACTTTTCTCCACAAGATTGAAAAAATGGCTCAAAGACCATCAAGAGTGTGAGCACTAAACTGGCTTTTTTTTTCTTTTCTTTTTTTTTTAACTTCTCTTGTTTTTTTATGCATCTGTGTGTCGTTACTAACCTCCCTCCCCCTTAATGCTAACACCTTTTAAAAGCCTAACTAGGAACAAAGGCTGCAAATTAGCCCATGGCTACCAGCTGTGGCGATCTGGAGGCTTGTCCACTTTCTCCACCAGAGGGCGCCTGAGATCTTCCTCCTGAGGGCATGAGCTTTCTTTTACACACCTGTTTCCTGTCTGCTCATCAGAAGACCTACTTAAGGAGGAGGAGGCTGACACTTCCCTGCCAGAGTGTTTGCCAGTATTGCCAGTATTGGATCCTGACTTATCTGGAAACCTGTAATCCTGGAGAAAGTAATCTCTGTCTGGAATCTGCCTGCCTGCACTCCGTCTCAGTCTCTGCCTCTAGCTGCCGACTAGCCTCTGGACCCACAAGGTTCCCCCCCTGCCGATCAGATTCCTCTCTGAGCAGTGGCTTCCCTCCCGTGACCAGTCCGAAGAACCAGTTCATCCTTTACTTGTGAAAATTGTTTAATAAATCATTTAACTTTTTCTCTGTTTCAAAGAGTGATTTCTGCATGTGGGTTAGACGCCTAGAACCCAACATGACACAAGCCTTATGTACTTGGACATCGGCCACCTATTTGGTTGCAATGTTTAATTGTACTGTCCCTGTCAAATAAACAAATAAATTAAATTAAAATTCTCTTAAAAGGAATAGTACACCCAAAACATGATTAGCCTTCATTTTCTACTCACCCCCATGCTGAACAACACTCTGGAGTACTTTTTTGATATCTCAAATGCATCTGGAGATCTGGGAGGCTTCTTGTTGTCTGCTGACATTCAAATAATGGAGGTCTATGGCGCCCGAGACAGAAAGGTCCATAAAAGTCCACAAAAAACGTGTCAATATTCCTCCATACTGCTCGTCCAATGTATTCCAAGTGTCCTGAGTGGGTAGCGTCCATAATTTACTCGAAACGAAGTCATTTAGAATGTTTTTAGAGCATAAAAAGTAGTGTATAGGATTTCCTAAAAGCGCGTTCACGAGTCTACGGAAACCGCGGCAGACCAAACCAGATGAAAGTGCGCATTCAGCTCGGCAAAGAACTCATGCTCTTCCTCAACACTGAAGTCCGACATTTTTCTTTCGTTGTTTCTTTCTTTGCACAGGTAAACAGCACATTTCTTCTTCTACGCTTGCATTATCGGCAGAGCAGACGCTGAATCCGCACTTTCATCTGGTTTGGTCTGCCGGCTTCCGTAGACTCGTGAACGCGCTTTTAGGAAATCCTATACACTACTGTTTACGCTCTAAAAACATTCTAAATGACTTCGTTTCGAGTAAATTATGGACGCTACCCACTCAGGACACTTGGAATACATTGGACGAGCAGTATGGAGGAATATTGACACGTTTTTTGTGGACTTTTATGGACCTTTCTGCCTCGGGCGCCATAGACCTCCATTATTTGAATGTCAGCAGACAGCAAGAAGCCTCCCAGATCTCCAGATGCATTTGAGATATCAAAAAAGTACTCCAGAGTGTTGTTCAGCATGGGGGTGAGTAGAAAATGAAGGCTAATCATGTTTTGGGTGTACTATTCCTTTAACAAGAATGAATAAAGTTACTAGAATTAACTAATCAGCTGAGATTCTATTGGTATTCAGGATTACGTCACATTTTGCACAAATTCTTGGAGCTATGGATGGATTAAAGCTGTTATACATTTACAGAAAATAGCAGGAACGCATATTAAGCATTAAAATGTCCCTCCTCCATCTTCATTTTAAGATTAGACCACATTTTCATTTTCCGACATAATTACATCTCATCATCTCTGAATCCGACAAAGGGGCTTAAGTGAGCTACGCTAGGATTTAAATTCTATGCAAGAGAAGAACAAAAAGAAAAATGAAATGAACAAATAGCTTTCTACATCTTCAAGAGAAGAAATTCCTGGAAATGATTTCAGGGAAAGCTCCTGGGGTGGGGGTGGCACTCACTGGTTACAGCCAGGTAGGTGTTGGTCTGAACTTCTCCAGCTGCGTTTCTGGCAAAGCACTGAAACATGCCGGTGTCATCGGGCAGCAGGCCGTTGACCTGGAGGCTCCCCCCCACCAGCACCCTGTACCTGGGCGTCTTCACCGGATCAATGGGAAGGGCATCTTTGTACCAGACAATTTCTGGCTGGGGAACTCCTGCAGAGAGTCAATTGGATTACAGACAGCGGGTTATGGCTGCTCTTTCATGACGGCTTCATTTAAATTCAGTCCCTGTTAATAACACCCTGGCAGAGTTTGTCTTATAAAATCAAAGCCCATACTCACCCCTCGCCTGACAGGGAATGTCCACCACCTTCTCCATCTCAGCTGTGATGTGTTTCTCTGGTTCTTTAATAAACTGTGGCGGCTCTGACGGATTTAAAACAAAGAAAAAAACAAATGAAAATGAATGCACTGCAAAAAAATAAAATTGCCAAAACAGAAAATATGTCAATAAAATCATAATTTGATTTGATCTTAAAAGAAAAGTGACATATAGAATGAGACACTACACCACATCAAAGCTATCGAGCTTCTGGATCATAAAGCTTAAACGAAGAAAAAAAAAACAACTCTCAGATTTAAAATATCAGAGAGAGAAAGATGTCAAAGTCAGCAGTGTTATAGGAAAAGTTCACCCCACCTCATGCTTTGAGTCACATCACAACCTTGAAAACATCAAAGTGTTTCAGTGGGATGGAATCAAAGTGACTCAAGCAATGCTATTAAACTGTTTCTTGAGGGCAACCATTAGCTTCCCTCCTATTTAAATCAATACAGTTTTACTGTTACTGCCTCATGACTTCACAGCAAAGCCTTTCTCCAAATAAGCAACTGAGACGAGAGAGATTCACATCTATTTTCGGCCACATCCTTTCTTTAAGCATAATTGCAATGATTCATTCCCACAAATCGAAATGATGCTTTCAGTACCTTGCAAATATCATTATAAACCTTGAACCTTTCCTCATTTTGTCACATTACAAGCAAGAAACTTCAAAGTTTTATTGGATTTAATGTGTCAGATTAATACAGCATATTTTGGGAATGTAAAATGAAACCAAAATGATAGTCTTTATTATTTTTTTTAAAGGAAAAGTCTGGTCATATTCAAAATTTAAACTTCTGAAAGTATTTTAAAAATGAAATTAATACATACTTTTCAATAAATGATATGTGTTTTAATTAAAAGTAATTTCATATGAATGTGCTTCACTTTGTCAAAGAACACTACTGCCACCTACTGGTTTGTGACGTCATGGTGCGGTATCGGCTGTTGATCAAGTCCCAGTGCTGTATCTGGTGTTTGTCACAACGCGCTATTATCCAAGTCATCTTGAAAACATTCTTCAATTCTGACTTTAAACTCAGAATTCTGACTTTAATCTCAGAATTCTGACTTTTTTCTCAGAATTCTGAATTTATTCTAAGAATTCTGACTTTTTTCTCAGAATTCTGAATTTATTCTAAGCAGAATTCTGACTTTTTTCTCATACTAAACTGAAATAAAATGTAAAAATCAGTTAACTATTTTTTTTTTTTCAGTGGCCCTAATCCTCTTCCATACATTCCTAAACTTCTCAATGCAATAAGCATTTTTCAGATCCAATTTGAATTGTTAAACATTTTGATTGAAAGAGTTTCATTACTCTTCCCTTCAGCAACACTGTTTTCTTTCTCCATATTTAAATGTCTGTAACACAATGGAAGAGCTGATAAAGGAAGTGTTCTCAATTGCATTTGACACCAAAGGTGCTTATTAAAGTTTTATCAAATCATTTTGTTTTACATTCTTAACATAAAAAAAAAACCTAAATGGCGCTATGAATACTACTATAAGGGAAAACAATGAAAACATGAAAACAAAGCTTCAAATCTCTATAATGTTTTTGATTTCACACGTTCAGGTGTGATTAGTCACATCATTAAAATCTGTTCATGCTGTGTAACAACAGTTTTGACATAGGAAAGAAAGGTGTGAATTACTGTGGAACCATAGTGGTAACCGGAGTAATTAGAAAACACTGCAAACGTGAATGGAAAGAAAAACCTTCACAGAAAGTCAGACACCTATGATAACACGAGAGGAAATTGGCTGCATGAGTTTTTCTCACCAAACACATGAAGATATGCCCCGGCGCTGACAGAGGGCACGCTGCTGCTGCGGAGAACGGCCTCGCATTCATAGAAGCCGGCGTCGCTCACCATCGGGCTGAGGATGGTCAGTCTGCGGTTGAAGTCGCTCAAACCGCTGCTCACCAACATGCCGTTTTTACGCCATGAGATGCTCAGCTTGATAAGAGGTCTAAACACCAAAAAGAAGGAATCCAATTTAATTGTTCTGCTCTACTTAATTCCTAACCCTTGTTTTAAACAGTAGTGCCACTGATGGTTAAAGCTGCTGCAGGTTTCCTTCATTTAGAAAACAAAAAAACATTAAAGCAGCAACTCCTAACCACTAGGTGGTGCTAGACCTACAATTCCATGTTTAGTAGTGATGGGTTAATGAGGCATTTTGAAGTGTTTGACACATTGCCAAACTGTATTGATGCTTTCCGTAAAAGTTTAAAAAACAATCCACTGGACTTGGTTTCCAAGGTCAGAAGGCGTTTCGCTTCCCCTCCAGGAAGCTTTCTCAATTTAAATGTCTGGATTCGCAGTGAGTTTGAGGCTTATATATAATCACTGCTTCCTGGAGGGGAAGCGAAACGTCTTCTGACCTTGGAAACCAAGTCCAGTGGATTGTTTTTTAAACTTTTCGTTTCATTGGTTTAAAGGACCACTGAGGCCATGTAAACGGCACTGATTATCCTTTTTTTGTTATTTTAAGTTTTATGAATCCTAAGATCTTTTTGTCAGTGTGTCCTGCGCCAGTAATAGTAATATTTGTGTCCAGTATTTGTTTTCATGGCAACACCTCCAAAAGTTGTTTCAATAAATACAGCTATGTATGCTTTCAGTTATGTATGATTGAAGACACGATCCAGATCACACCCAGCCAGTCAGCCACTGGTAAGGGCTGCATCTTTTTCTTACAGTGTTCAGTGAAAATATCGCAATGCATCGCAATATTTCAAGTATCATGATGCACCGTGATAGAATCGCATCGTGGCATGTGAATAATGATTCGAATCGAATCATGACTTCTTTGCCAATACCCACCCCTAGTCAAGACTTACTCGATGCTGCTTTAAAAGAATACTCTGAAAGTTGGCTTCTACCTGGCATTGGCCACACACTCCATTGTGACCTCTGATGTTCCCATCACCACACTAGTGTTTCTTGGAGGTATGATGATCGTGGGAGCAATGGGGTCTGCAGGACCTCCGATATCTAGAACGACAAACAAAAACAATCCAAAATTAGATATAAAATTACATTCCGGTAAATGTGTTATAAAGCAGATGATTGGTTTGGAACAAGGGTACCAAACTGAAACAGGAAGTGGTGTGGTGGGATGAGTGGAAGATGTTGTACCTACTTAATGTCTTATAAATTTCATTTCCGCTCATCGCTTTCTTTGGGCGCCCGTTGATGTGAAATATTGAAACTGACCAGAGAACATGCTGAGCATGAGTTATGACTGAGAAATGGGTCGAATCGGATGAGACGGTGCACTGGGTATGCATAACAAGGTATCTGTTGGAAAACTACAATGACAGAAAACACATCCAACGTAAGGCTGAAGGTCTCCACGGATCACTGTATGTGTTCATTTCTCTCAGGCTTTTAAAGCTATGCGGGGGTAAACGTATTTCAGCTCTGTAAAGCCTGGTGGGGGTGTGTTGGGGTGTGTTTGTGTGTGTGTGTGCAGCTTGAAAAATGTCATGTCTGTGATAAACACGTAGCGATCTGTCAGTCCTGTCATTCCCTGAGACTAAGCTCATGGCAGCACATGTCAGACACAGCTGAGGGATATGTCATGACTCAATAACGCCAACCTGGGTTTATATGCAGGCCTTGATGTACGTAAATACACACATACCTTGGAGCAGGTCAATGACTGACAGCTACTCACCTGAGAGAGACTTAATCTGACAAGTCTTTGGGTATTTTAAAACATTCATGTACCTCAAAGTAAAACCTGTTCCTTTGCTTACTTTGGAATTTTGATGTGTGCAGTAAAGTAGTACCTTTGACATTTACAGCAGATTTTTAATTTATCATAGCAAGAATTTTATACTATTCAATTTTTTTTTTTTAAACAATAGTGCAACAGTGCTTTTCTGTAACAATAAAAAGTGTTGATGGTGGCCAGCTAGGATGGATCAATGTTTTAATGATGCAGTTTCTTGTGTCCAGCATGTCCTAGATATAGCTATAAAAAAACTCAACAACTGGCTTGTTGTGTTGGGAAAAAAAAATTGCATCACATGCATACTTATTTGATTGTTTCCAACCTGTTTCTGCTTACTCTTTTAGCTCCACCCTGGTCCCGCCTTTGAAATCGGGCTCTAAATGCTCCATTTCCTGAAAAATACGCTTGTCAGGATCCCAGTTTTTGTGTTCGTCTGTTTGTCTTGTCTTTTGTGTTTCTCCCTTCCACCACCAGGAGGCGCCTGGCTCCGATTCGCCTACTCACACACCTGCAAGCGGTTGCCTCATCACCGGACTACTCTTTAGCTGCTGGTTTCCACTACTTCGACGGCAGAGTGTTTGCCAGTTTGGGGTACTCTAGCCAAGTCTTGTTTATGCTGAGTCTAATCTGAGTTTTTGCTTTTTTGAGTTTTGTTCTCTAGCCAAGCTAAGATCACATTGAGTTTAACTGAGCGCTTGTTTCTCCCTGAGTCTCAACTTTGTTTGTTCTTTGCCTTTCGGCAGGAAGCCTTCCTGCAAACTGGACCTTTTTGGACCGCTTTCTCCCAAGTGGGAGACCCTAACCCTAACCCAACTGAGTCTTACACTGAGCGACGGATTCCAAACAGGAGGTTTGGATCCAGCCCCTTTGAGCACGCTGAGATCACTCTCTGAGTAAGGAAGTCATCTTCACTACGACCCGTTCAAGTACCACAGGAAAACTGAGTTGCAACCAGCGGCTGCATCATTCCACTCCGTCCGAGTTCTGGGTAAACCCTGTTCCGCCCTCCACCGAATCGAACAAACCCTGAAAGACCATCACACAGACTGGAGTCTACTTGTCTCTTTTTCTCAGGAAACATGAGTGGCAACTAATCCTCTCCTTCAAGATAAACAACTCCAATTCCCCGCTGAGCCTGAACCTAACAGTGTGTCTTCTCCTCATCTTTCAGTTTTCAGTGTTTGGAGGAACTCTGCACCAAACTAAATACCTTTCAATGAAACCCGTTGTAACTTTTACTCTGTCTCTCTGTTTGGCTTCACTGCATGTGGGTCTGAGCTTTAGAAAAATCATGACAACGCTGTCTTTATGGCATAACTTAGTACAGCTTGCCAGGCTACTGTAGGGATGATTCTACTGTATTTGACAAGGGTAAGAAAGCTTGTTGGTAGATAAAATGTATCTTTAATCTTAAATGGAATCCATAATGTACCTGTAATATTTTACCCAAATCAGCTTTGTATATCTAAAGCCTAAATTATTTTATCTCTTCTTCTATCTCCTTATTAAATTGGATGAGAAGTGTATTGTATTCAGATTTCAACTGTTAAGTCTATCAAGAATTCTCAGTTGCATTTAGGATTGGATCAGGACTGAGCCTTTGTAAGGGGACAGTAGGGTTTCATTTCTAACCACAATGGAAAAAATCGAAATCTAGATAAGTCTTTTTTTTCTTAAATTAAGTGTATTTTTTCTTGGATTGAGGAGATAAAAGAGACATTTTGCCAATGGAACAAGACAATTTACACTTAAAATAAGAAAAAAACAACTGTAATGTCTTATTTCACGTGCATTTGATCAAAATATCATATTTTCAGTGTAAAAACACTCATTCCATTGGCAAACTATCTTATTTACCTACTCAAATTAAGGGTGAATACACTTAATTTAAGACATTTTTACTTATTTCTAGATCGTTTTTGCAGTTCCATTTAAAACCACACTGGAAAAAATCGAAATCTAGATAAATCATTTTTTTTCTTAAATTAAGTGCATTTTTTCTTGGATTGAGGAGATAAAAGAGACATTTTGCCAATGGTACAAGACAATTTACACTTAAAATAAATAAAAAAACAACTGCATTGTCTTATTTCAAGTGCATTTGATCTAAATATCTTATTTTAAGAGTAAAAGTACTCATTCCATTGGCAAACGATCTAATTTACCTACTCAAATTAAGGGTAAATACACTTAATTTAAGATTTTTTTTTACTTATTTCTACATTGTTTTTCCAGCGCAATTTATTGTACCATTATCCTTCTGGGAGTTGAGCCTCTGTCCAAGACTTTTGGCACGTCTGCTGTTCTTTTTTTTCTTTTCTACAATCTTGATGTTCTATTTAGCTTCTCCCATCAGCAGCCGAATGCAAATAGCTGCCACTTTGTTCTGATGTTTTGTACAAAAAAAGCAAGACAAGATATATTTCTCCACCTTTTTGAAGTCTATAGATGTACACTGCAAAAAATAGAAATCTCAATAAGTTATTTTTTCTTAAAATAAGTGCGTTTTTCCTTGATTTGAGGAGGTAAGTAAGACACTTTGCCAATGGAACAAGGCAATTTCCTTTTAAAATAAGAAAAAACAATTTTATCGTCTTATTTCAAGTAAATATTATCTAACTATCTTATTTTAAGAGTGAAAATACTCATTCCATTGGCAGATCATCTTATTTACCTGCTCAAATTAAGGCTAAATATACTTAATTTAAGCCATTTTTTTTACTTATTTCTGGATTGTTTTTGCAGTGTATGTGATGCATCTAAAAAAGGCATACAAAGGTGGTTTAAATATGATTCATTAATAAACCTAGATATCTGAAAGCACTGTTTATTAATTCATTTGAACCACTTATTTTAGGAAAATAGTTAAAACATCCTGGGTTTCTAAATCAAAAATAGTTTCAGTTCTCAGCTTGATTAAAGCTGTCAGAAATACCTCAATGGGGTTTTAGCTTGTAAGGAGCACATTTTGTTTTCAGTCATCATTAGTAAAGGTCAGATTTTCCAATTTTCTAAGCTTTATAAATAATCCTGAAACCTAATCAGCAGGCAATGGGCTGTTCTCAGTAGCTGTCAAATTCCTTGAAAAATGTTGCAGTTGAGGCTGACAAAGCAGGTAAAATATGTCTTCATTTCATGTGATGTAATCTTAAATGAAAGCTAACGGGAACAGAGGAGGTCGAAATCAAGTAACCAGAAATTTCAAAATAAGAGTATTGGTACTTGTTGATGTGAGTCACATATTTATCAGTAGGATTTACAAGTTTGTTCTATTGAGATGTTATAATGGTATGAATCTTATATTTAAGGGGACAAAGAGAGTAAAAAAAAAAATCAATGCTTTAATTTATCCTGGTCCAATACAAGGTCACAAGAGGATAGAGGCCACTACTAAACATTGGTTAATTAGTACATTTAATGATACAAGTCAGGGGTTGACGTTAAGGATTTTTACCACTTGCCTAAAGGGCAAGTGGCTTTCACATTTCATTTGCCCAGAAACAATATTTACTTGCCCAGTATAATGTTTATTAGATATTGTTCCTAATATTCATTTTTATATATATATAAATGAAACATTTAATTCAGTAAGTTTCCAGGTTCCTGGTGTGTATATGCATGGGTCAGATAATGAACTCAAGCCTACATTACCGTGTTAACATGCTTTTCAATCCTTCTTGCACATTCTTTTCAAAATAAACTTTAAAATATAAATTGTAATGTTAAAAATCTAAAAAAAAAACTTGACAGGTTAAAAACTTACATTATTACTACTCACCAATTTAGCATGTTTAGCTCTATAACATTTAAATGCACATCTCCAATGTCTAAGAGAAAAAAAAAAAATGAACATTTTTTAATGTATGACCTGCATCACTGCACAGAAGACTGCCATATGATAGAAATATTTACACTGCGCATACAATTATTATTACTATTTTCCTAATCCCTGACTGATCATTTTTAATCTAGCTTGTATTATATGCTCCGTTCGAATTCCTGGGAAGCGTCCTTAGAAGGCCAGATTCTAAGGACGATTACATCATAACGCGGCGCGGAGGTCTGGTCGGATTCCAAGAGTCATCGTTATGCGACCTTAAAATGCGTCCTTCTTTTTGCCCGATTTGAAGGACGGGTCCGATGTATCCTCGGTATCCTTGGTTTACCCAGGATTCATTGCGAGACCAAGCAAGCCGTGATTTTTCTATTTCTTTTCTTCGAAAGTTAGCTAAAGAATGAATGGATACTTATTTAT